AATGAAGAGGTTGGTCACGATGATTCTCAAGGAAGGAGAGGAAACATCACAGTGGGAAAAGCAGTGGCTGTGGAGTCAGAGGTCCTGGGTTCACATCTCACCTCTGATACCACTTGTGAGAACCAGGAGCAAATCATCTTATTTTCCTGGTCCTCAGTTTCCTCCTCTCTCAAAGGAAGGGGTTAGACCAGATGGCCTCTGAAGCCCATTCTAGGTCACATGTTCCTCTTACGTTTTTCCCAGCTCTGTTATGATCCTTAAAGCCATTGGAATCGGGTCGGCTATTGTCATCATCAGTTTATTGCCTCTGGCACTGGTAGGGCACAGTATCTGAGAGGGGAACTTTCCCAGAGAAGGAGGTCAGAACATGCGAACTTGAGTGTCAGAACTAGGGGCACACAGGAAGTGGTGGGGGGAGGGAGAGAGCATTCTCCCTAACGCTGGCCTGGGGAAGGTCTGCTGTGCTGCCTCACTGTGGGAGGCTTCAAGGAGCTCTCAGGTACAAGCTCCACATCTTCAGGACTAAAAGCCCCTGGCTGTAGGAGCTGGGGGCGGTTGTAATGAAAGCATTCTATTCCCCTTAAAATGCTACATAAGTTTGAGCTCTTATTCATCTTTCCTTGCTGATGATGGCAAGTTCTGAAGAAAGAAAACAGGACACGGAGTGGGAGGGGAAACTAGCTGCTTCAAGCTCTTCCCTTTGGGCCTGCCCATTGGAGAAGGGCAGTGGGTGTTTCTGTGCTTCAAAGGGTTAATGATTAAGGAGGGCTTGCCTTCAAGGGAATAGGGGACAGCTCTGAGGCCTGTAACTTGGGAGCGGGGGAACCTCTACCACAGCAATGGGACAGGTCCCACCAGGCCTCTGCCTGATCTAGCCCGGTGACTCATACAACTTGAAAGGCTCTTGGGCCATGGAGCTGCCTGGGAGAGTTTGGCCCAGGCAGGCCTGGGTGAGGAGATGCCAACCCAACTATTGAAGGGATCTTTGGGGTATAGAAAAATGGTGTGAAAAGAAGAAACCTGCCCGTCACCAAATAATGCCAGTTCCCCCTGTCTCCCACCCCCAAAACCACATACACCACGTACTGTCCTTTTCCTATCTGCCACTGGTTCTGTTAGCCTTTTTGCTCTCTATAATAATATAACTCATTTTGCTATAGTGCTTTACAGTTTACACAGTTTTTTTTTCATAAATAAGCCCAATTATTTTATTTTATTTTAACTTATACTTTATTTTAAATAATATACCCCCCCAAAAAAAGCCTCTGAACCTCAGTTTTCCTATTTGTAAAATGAAAATCATAGTACCTACCTCACAGAGTTGTTGTGAGGGTCAAATGAGATAACTGATATAAACCACTAAAATATAAATGTTGTTGTTATCATCATCATCATTATTATTATTATTATTGTGACAGTGGTAGAGGATTCAGGTAAGATTTATGAAGAACATTGGAATTAATTATTAAAGGAGATTATGGAAATTCCTTATCCTATGTGTGGCCTTCCTTAAAGGCAGGGAGATGGACCTATTGAATTCTAGAGGTCTGTTCCCACCTCTCCATGTATGTGTGATGAGTAACTGTGCCAATGATAGGAAAACTGGGAGAAAAAAGTTGGAAGGTCTTCAGAGTCTGAAAGAGGAGATAATGAACCCATTTTTCACTATATTGGAACTGAGCAGAAATAAGCGGTGGGTGAGAGTTTAAATTTTGGCTGAATTGGAGTTTTTGGCATCAAACTTACAATTCTATCTAATTGACCTGAAAAGGGTCAGTTTTCCATGTCCTGAGAGTTAGTGTCCATCTTTGAGAGACCTAGCCTTATAGCATTTAAGCTGTCAGGTTGTATTTATCTGTGCAGATTTAATGGGATGGAATTTTTCTCCCCTCCTAATTTACCTGTTTCTAGCTCTGAAGCATAGTATGGCCAGGCCTTAGCAACAGCCATGAATCTTGTGGGGGCCAGGAATTTGCTGATTTGGTTAAAACCTGTTGGCCTTCCTGATATGACATGTTACTTGAAGGCTAGTCCCTCCAGCCTGTCTAGGTTGAGGATGTCACCTTGCCTACCAGCCACACATTGGATAGAAGATCTGGGAACTCCTGGGTGTGACAGCGCCTCTGTGCTCCAAATCTGCCCTCCCCACGATTGCCCTGTGACCCAGACCAGCTCTGTCTAATAACTTGTGTTCATCTGTGGGGGAAGATTTGTTCCTCTAGATTCTAGGCTCTTAAAGATAAAAGGATCAAAGGAAAGAACAGGAGAAATAAATCAAACGAATTTGGCCTCAGGAATGCTAGGTTGGACTAAGGAGAGGTGAGAGTTGGATGAAGAGGGAAGAAGTTGGGACAAAGAGTTTGGCAAATCGGGACATCAGGCTTTACTAGTAATGGCTTCACTCCTTCTCAGTCTCAGAACCCTTCCCATTCATTACCTCGTTTGATCCTGCTACCCAATTTGGGAGGCTAGTCAGAGAAGGCTACTCTCCTCATTTTACAGATAAAGAAACTCATGCTACCAGAGGGGGAGTGACTTGCCCAAGATCACAAGGCAGAGCCAGGACCCAGAATCAGGTCTTTTTACTCTAGGTCCAAAGCTCTTTCTCACTATTATCACTGTGGAGGGTTGGATGGTTTTGTTTGAGGTAAGGTTTTTTTGGACCAGACCCTGTGATCTCCTTGGTGTAAGGAATTCATACATAATAAGGAGACTCCTGCCAATGCAGATTGATGGTCTTTGAGAGTGACCTAGGACGCTGAGAAATGAAATGACTTGCCTAGGATCACAGTAAGTATGTGGCAGAGATAAGATCTGAACCCAAGTCCTCCTAGATGCTGTGGCCTAGTGTTTGCTATGCAGAACTATCTCCTGGTGTTGTGTTAGTTAAGATTAATAATAACACACTTCTACAGTATTTTTACATTTACAAAGCACTTTCTTCACGGCAGCGTTGTGAGGTCAGTTGAGGTTAAGTGACTTTCCCAGGGTCACAGTTAGGGGGAGTCAGAGCTGGGGCTCTTATCTGGGTCTCCCCAATTCAGTATCTGTTTTCCTTCACAATATTGTGTTGGATTTCCCTTTTTGGGCAAGTTGGTTCCTAAGCCTGACTCTTGACCCCAGCCAGCAATAGGGGAGAAAATCATAGAATCATAAATTTAGAATTAGAAGGGACCTTATCCATCATCATTTTACAGTTGAAGAAACTGAGGCTCATAGAGATTAAGTGATTTGCCCAAGATCACCCAGATAGTAAATGGCAGAGCCAGGATTTAAACCAAAGTCCTCAGACTCCAAATCCAGTGATCTTTCCACTGTAACATGTGAGCATGCATTGCACAGTGCAGTCATTCCTTGTTTGTCATCTGATTCTCCAAATCCAATGCCTTTTTCCACCATACTTTGAAACTCATGCTGCTGGATGGGATCCCTAACTCAGCTCTTCATGACAGCCTACTCCATTACTCCATACCTTCCTCAATGGGTGATTAAATAATCACAGGGCCAGGGAACACCTTAGGATGGGAGGCCCCTGAGAGTCACTTGAGTTCGGAAGGGAAAATCACCCTAAGATGGAAAATCTACCCAGATTCATATCCCACGTCTACTGTAAGTTCCATGAAAGCAGCAGGAACTTTATGTTATCTACGCTTTGTATCTTCCCCTGCACCTAGCACAAAGGTATCCAAAAAATATTTGGACAAGACCTGTGATTTTATTGGTGTAGGCAACTCTTTCTACCATTACAGATGAGTACCTGCTTGCAACACAGTCAGTATGGAGAAGAGGCAGGACCTGAACTCAGGTCTTCCTGATTCTAAGGCCAGCCCTGTATCTATTACTCCATCCATAGCTGCCTCTTCTACTACGCTTAACGCACATCTTTTGTGCTTTATGAATATTTGATGAATGAATGCGTCAGTCGGTCAATTTCACCTGGGCCTTGAAGTCTGAGTTAAGGTAAGCAAAGATGAGGGGAAGGCATTCCAAACAAATAGAAGATCTGGGAACTACTGGGTGCAGCAGTAGGAAAATCCAGTATGTGTTTACATAACAACTAGTAGTCCCGGTTCCTACAAGAGAATCTATCTTGGATTAAACTGGGTATTACGTTATCTGTGCCTATGAGTATTCTCCTAGAAAAAGAAGGTATATTCCAAGAGGGCAGGAACCACATCATATCCAAATCTCTCATCTCAATCCAGTACCTTGGTTATAAGTACTCAGCACAATCAAAATGTTTATTTGAATGTATGAACCAACCCAGAGAAGGGCCTGGGGATGGGGATCTCCAAGCATCTGCCCACCTCCTGCCAAATACAATCCAGACAGGTGTTTGTCATTCTCATTCTTCGGAATTGTTGTGGCCTATTTACAGAACCTTTTCTGAGCATCTACGACTGCCAGTGGGTAACTGCATACTCCAAGCAAAGCTAAGGATTGAATCTCAGAGCTGGAAGGGACCTTACTGGTCATCTAGCCCAGAGGCATCAAACTCCCAAGATGTCCAACCAGATTAAAATGTAACTGGGAAATGTTTAACAAAATAAGTGAAAATATGACACAATATAGGTAATGTGAATTTGTAGTTTTCTAAGTTAATACCCAGCCTGTAGGAATACCACAGATCTAGATTAACCCACTAGATTTTTAGATAAGGAAATTTAAGCCCAGCGAATTTTAACAGCTTGTCCAAAGTGATGCTAGTAAGTGGCAGAGATTTTTACACAGGTCCTCTGATTCCAAATCAGTGTTCTTTCCACTATCTCATGCTTTCTCTAGGGTCATATAACCAGTTGGTGACAGAGGCAGGTGTAGAAATCAGAAGTTCTTTATGTCTTTCCTAAATATTCCTTGCTTGTTGAAGCTTGGCTTCACATCTTCCAAGGAATGGCTTATCCTTTTCCCCAGGATCATCACTTCCCTTAGGAGACTGTCTGGGCTCCAACAGAGATCCTACCCTTATGTCCTCCTCAGAAACTTCTTTCTGTTTCCCCCAGAAAAGCCAGAGTTGGACGAGATGACCATGGAGAGGGTGCTGGAGGAGCTAGAGACCGTGTGCCACCAGAACATGAATATGGCCATCGAGACCGAGGAAGGGCTGGGCATTGAGTATGATGAGGACGTCGTGTGTGATGTGTGCCGCTCACCGGAGGGCGAGGATGGCAACGAGATGGTGTTCTGTGACAAGTGCAATGTGTGTGTTCATCAGGTGAGCCCCAGCTGGGCCGGGCCAGGCCGTGGACCGCACAGAACGAGAATGAGCATCATTCAGTGAGCACCGTGATGAGGGGGAAGGTGGAGTCACCGGTGTGAGCATCGAGGAAGCGTCAGACAATGAGACTGACTGTGTGAGAGAGAGATGTGTGTTGGATTGTGCCTGTAGAGGGTAAAGGTGTGTGAGTCTTTCTTTTTGTCTGTTAGTGAACCATCATCCTATGAGAGAAAGAAGACTACGGGAAAGAGTGTGAAAAAGAGATTTGCATGAGAAAGAGTAGTGTGTGTCTGCCAGTACTCTAGGGTATCCATATGTGATTCTCAAACACTGTGTGTTTGGGAATAGAACTGCAGTGATTCACCCCCTCACCTAGAAATGAGCTCTTCTTAGGAGGCCAGTCCTGTCCTCCATAGATCCTCTTTGCCTTTGTGACCTAGAAACTGTTCCCTCCCCACCACCCTCTGCCCCAGTGAGTCATAGGTGATAGAGAAAGCATTGGAACAGTGGCCCCCATAAAGGTGTCCCTGTTCAGGACACTGGGGAGAAGTGGTCCATGGCCCATTTGATGAGGAAGTTGGTGGCAGATAGGTCTCTTGCCATCATAGCAGAATTCTTAGTGGGGCCACCTTGTACCAGTCACTCCTGGGATATTTGAGACTGAGTGGGAAAGCTGGACTGGAGTTTGATGACTGACCTTTACTTTCCTCTCCAATTCTATGGGGGTACAGGCCTGCTATGGAATCCTCAAAGTCCCCACGGGAAGCTGGCTTTGCCGGACTTGTGCCCTGGGTGTCCAACCCAGATGTCTGCTCTGCCCCAAAAGGGGGGGAGCCCTGAAACCAACACGGAGCGGGACCAAGTGGGTACATGTCAGCTGTGCCTTGTGGATACCTGAGGTGAGTAAGATTATACTTCATACCCCTTTGTTAAGAGACACCCCCCCCCCCCAGAGCTGGGTGAACTGTGAACTACCTGAAGGTCTGAGGTCAGCCAGAGAGGTAGTCAGAAAGGAAATCGGGCAATGTACTGTCCTGGATGGAAAAGAAAAGATTTATTTTCTGAAAGAACAGTTCATTTCTATTGTGTTTTGAAGGGTGATCTTGACCAGGCTGGAGAGAGCAGCATTCACTGAACCTTCATTCCCATTCTGGGTTCTTTGTGCTGGTTGGGAGGGAAGCATGCTGGAGAATTAAGAGAGAATAGGAAACACATAGGAGGCCAGGGACCTGAGATCAAGGTTTGACTCCACAGCTAATTGTGTGACCTTAGATGAATTTCACTTTCTTTTCCTTATTTGTATGTTTCCAGTGCCTAGCACAATGCTTGGGGCATAATATAGCCTTAATGTTGAGTTCAGTTGATTGAATTGAATTACCTAGGTTTTGTTGTTGTCATCGTTGTTGTTGTTTTGGGGGCAGGGCACGGCAGTCTGGGTTAAGTGACTTGCCAGGGGTCACACAGCTACTAGGTGTCATATATGAGGCCATATATGAACTCAGGTCCACCTGAATCCAGGGCTGCACCACGCTTTTTTCTTTAAAATAAAAAACTAAAACTTCCTTAAGTACCTCATATGGGCAGAGGATGGGGATCAGCAGGGATGGACAGAGATACAAAGTTTTTGGATGACACAGGTCTCTTCCCTCAAGGGATACATAATTTAGTAGGTGGCACAATGGACAGAACACGCGCCCTGGGGTCAGGAGGACCTGAGTTCAAATTTGGCCTCAGATATTTATTAGCTGTGTGACCCTGAACAAGTCACTTAACTCTGTCTGCCTCAATTTCCTCATCTGTAAAATGAGATTGAGAAAGAAATGGCAAACCACTCCATTGTTTTTTTCAAAGAAAACCCCAAATGAGGTCACACAACTGCAATGACTGAACAACAAGAAAAGTTAACAGAAGGCAATGTGGTGCTGTGGAAGGAGTGCAGGATTTGAGGTTCAGACTTGATCCCTGTGTGATCCTAGACAAGTTGCCTAACCTCTCTGTGCCTCAGTTCCTCATTGAGGGCTTTAGCCTCTCAAGCCTTTTCCAGCTCTAAACCTATAGTCTAATGACAGGGTCACAGCCATCGGTTTCCAGTAGCTTCTTGTCATCCTTTCAAGGCTCTCTCCCATTAGATCTCCTTCAATTCAGAGTTGCTTTGCTTTCTTTTTTTTTTAAGTAAATATTTTGTTGATTCTTTTCCCCCTCACAATCACTCATTTCCCAATAAACACCCTCCTCATAGAATACTCCCTTGTAACAAAAGATTGTAGTTAAGCTAAACAAATTAAGATGGGGGCTCTGTCATACGTGCATGCCTCATTCTGTATTGGTAGGCCACCACCTCTACTTAGGGAGAAGAGACATGCTCTACCTCACTTCCACATTTCTCTTGCCCATTTTTTCTAAGTACTACATGTTTAAGGTAAAAGAATATAAATTAAGCTGGTATAATATATTGTAAGGTGATGTTCAAGATGACATTCCTGAGGTCCTGTAGGATTCAGAATCAATTTCTTCCCCTTTACAAATTAGGAAAATGAGGTCCCTTCCATCTTTAACAGTCTCTGATTTAAAGAAGGGATTTTCAGAACAGCTGTATCACACTTGGGACACACTGCCCTTTAAGGTTTTTTCCATCAGAGACTAAAAATGATTCTGGAAACCTCCAGGGGGAGGGAGAATGGGGCAGGGGAAAGGGCCAGGAGAAGGTAGATTGCAGGCTCTGCCTGGAGCTTTGCTGAGTCATCCATCCATCCCTCTCTCCTCTCCTAACACCTTGGGGCCTGGCCTCTCTCCTCCCCAGCCCAGTCAGTCCCCTAGCTGAGTGTCCCCGCCTCATCGGCCCAGCTGCTGATTGGTCGAGCAGGCAGCCCTGGGCTCCTTGGAGTTGGCTCCCGGGCCCTGAGAACAGAGTGAAAGTTGAGTAGGGCAAAGGCCAGAGATAGGAGTGACAGCCCTTGGGGCATGGCTGCTCCTTGGCACTAAAACCTCCTGCCTCTTTTAAGAAGGTGAAGCTGCACCCCCAGCTGAAGGGCTCCTTTTAGAGAGATAAAGATCCTCTTTCACCCACTCTTTCCCTCTCCCAGCTTAATGGACTAATAATAGTAAAAATAACAGCAGTAACAATGACAATAATACTGAGTGTTCTGTGCTACTTATACAGTGGACAGGTTGGAGTCAGAAAGTCTGTGTTCAGATATCAAGCGTTTCGATTGTTACCTGTATGACCTTGGGCTCGCCACTGTCTGGGGCCTTGGTTTCCATTTCCTCATCTATGAAATGTCCTCTGAGGTCCCTTCTAGCTCTGAATCTGTGGCCCTGTAGTCCTCCTAACTCAGTGTTAGTTCAAGCTAGGTTAGGGCTCATAGTTTAATTCAGCAAGCATTTATGAAGTACCTACTATGTGCAAAGCATTGTGTAAGGGGTTGAGGATGCAAAGACACTGAAAAACAGTCCCTGTCCTCATGCATTGTCATTTTGCTGAACCCATGGATGAAGTCAAAGTTGGCCCATTCTGGGCCAAAGTTCTCAGCCCCCAGATGACATCTCTGTGCTGGGCTTCTTGGATGCATCCATTTTTACTTGGGGGAAATGATTCTTTTTCTTCTGAGGATGGGGGAGGCAGGCAGCATTGCTGGGCCCTGGGCTCACAGAGATCATAACCTAGGCACCTGTGAAGCCGTGGAAAAACTGGAAGTGATTATCCATGGGTGTTTGAAGCCAGAATGTTAGAAACTTAGGGGTAGGGAGGTGTAGTTGCCTGGAAGACTCCCTCCTCCCCTCCCTGAAGTCTTGAAGAGATCCTGAATGCCCCTGTTGTGACCTGTGGGGGATACTTTCCTACAAAACGGATAAAGAGGAATCTAACTTCTTGATAAGAGAGTAGAGCTGCTTCTGCCATCCCTTAAGCTAAATTTATTAACACCTCATTAGATAAAAGGTGACAGGACCACAAGCGACCCCTGGTGGCAAAACAGGAGGAGAAAGTTGGGGGTTGGGAGTTGAGTGGAATTAATGCTGAGAAAAGGGTCACAATCCTAGTCCTTTCTTATTGCTTCCAGGGGCAGCCTAGAGATGGGACCCAGTATCGCAGATCTCTGAATTTAGTTTTTTCTGTAGGACACACAGTATCCCCAGTGGAGGCACTCAGCTTTTATTATTTTTAGAATACTTTTTTTATTTTTGTTTTTGTATCACCTACATTTCCCATCATGCCCTTCTACCTCCTCCTCCCAGAGAGTCATTTCTTATAATAAAGAAGAAAAAAGAAAAGTTCAGCAAAACTAAACTACATGTAGATAAGTCTGATATTATAAGTAGGGTTCCAGCAGCCCACCATATTGCTGCAAACAAGCAAGGTAGGTGCCTTCTCAGAGCCCTTTAAGACCAGACTTGGTCATTGTCATTTCTTAGCCTTCAGTTTTGATTGTTTTGTTGTGGGGGGTTTCCCCCCATTTACATTGTTGCAGTTATTGTATATATTGTTTTCCTGGTTCTGCTTACTTCACTTTGCATCAGTTCATGTAAGTCTTTCTATCCTTATCTGTGTACTTTATTGTTTTTTAGGGCATACTGATACTCACATAACACAATTTTTTTAGTCATTCTTAGTTGATAGGCATCTACTTTGTTTCCACTTTTTAATACTATAAGCAAGCGCTGCTATAACTATATAGGTATATATAGTGGGTCCTTTCTTTTTGGCAGTGCCCTTTTTATGGTATATACCTAACAGTGGCATCTCTAGATCAAAAGGTATAGACATTTTTATTCATACTATGAATAATTCTAGATTGTTTTCCAGAATGGTTGGACCACTTTACAACTCTGTGAACAGTGTATTAACATGTCCATCTTTTTCCCCAGACCTTCCAACAATGACCATTCCCATCTTTTGTCATCTTGGCCAGTTTACTCAGTCTTTATTATTAAACATTTCCCCTGCCCAGAGGATGCTGTAGGGGAGGCATTGCGCCTGCAGAGAATTGTTCATAATGTCAGCTTTCCAAGGACAAGGACCAGTGTTAGATCAGGGACAAGAGCTGGACTTAGGCCAGTCGAGGCAAGTTCTAGGAGTATAGCCTTTTTCGGTGACTCCTGATCCTCTCCTGTTCAGATTGAATCACTCGAAGGATGCAAACCTGATCAAGTCCCCATGCTATTGTAACATCTGCCTCTCAGCAGAACCAAGAGAATGTTATACACGGTAACAGCCGCATTGTGCGGTGACTGATATTGATAAACTTAACCCTTTTCCAGCAATACAAGGATGTAAGACATCTCCAAAGGCCTCATGATAGAAAATGCTGTCCACATCCAAAGAAAGAACTATGGGATATGAATGCAGACCAAAGCATACTATTTGCTATTTTTTCCCCTCTTCTGTTGAGTTTTGTTTCCTCTTTCTGGTGGTTCCTTCTATTGGTTCTAATTCTTACTTCCAACATCATTAATGTGAAAATATGTTTAATAGGAATATGTATGTATAGCCTGTATCAGATTGTGCACCATCTTAGGGAGGGTGGTGGGGAGAAAGGGGGAAAAAAATTTAAACTCAAAAGCATATGGAAGTGATTGTTGATAAATAAAACATAGCTCAAGATAAAAAAAAAAAAAAAAAAAAAACATGTGCCTCTCAGGTGTCCTTGCCTCTGGTCTCTCTACCCTGTTCAGTCCATAATTTATATAAATCTTCCCGAGATAAAGATCTGCCCATGTCCCTCCCCGACTCTCTATTGCCTCTGTCGAGCATGTGGCACATCTTGCCCATGGCAGATACTTCAATCGCTTAAACGCTTGTTGAATTGAATGGAAATGGAGAGAAGTAGTGTTCACTGAACAGGAAACTATTATAGCCTATTTGACTAAAAGGACATAGACTGTGGAATTCCTGGCTATTGTCCATATTGTTTAAGTCTCAGCTCTTCAGTGGTATTGGGTCTGTAGTGGAATAAGAAAGCATCATCCAAGTCAGGTGATGTTTTGCCTGACAACTTTATGCTACCAGAGGTAGAAGCTGCTATTGTTTCATTTCAAAATCCCATATCTTGGGGCAAGTCAGCTGACTGGTATGTTTTCTGTGCCTTCTTTCTGGGGATTAGTTCTGTGTTCACATGAGACAAGGACTTTCTCCTCAGGAGAATATTCTTTTGGAGTCAGAGTTCTCACTGTATTTCTAGTGGCCGTTGGCTTGTGGGAAAAACTTGCCCATGCTCCTTACTTCCGAGATTAATTCAGTGGGCATTTATTAAGCACCTGCTGTGTATAGGAATGCATTGTTTGGTGCTAGGGGTAACACAAGTCCTTGCCCTCCTGTAGCTTGAAGCTATTCCATAGTCTTTCTTGAGCTTTTCCTGGGAATCAGCCATGGCAGGGAAAAGAAAGAGGACATAGCTTGACCTCAGGCAGCTTACAGTCAAGTCAGGGATGTACCATGTTAACATATGATATAGTAGAGGAAAGGTATTATAGTAAAGGTACCGTAAAGCTGTGCAAAGACCACTGGACCTGGATTCTAGAGGCCTAAATTTGCATTAGGTCAGCTCTACCATTTTCTAGCTTTGTGAGATGTGAGCAAAGATTTATTTAATTCCTCAGAGCCCAAATTTCCTGTCCTGTGAAATGAGGGAAATCATCCTCTCACTGCCTGCCTTAAAATAGGATGAGAAAAGTCCTCTGTAAACCTTAATGCACTATGTAAAGATGTTCTTTCTGTTACAGGAAGGTTCAAAGCATTTACAGAGTTAGCAGAGAACAAAGTGAAAACTTGACATGGTAAAAATGGAATACTGAGGGATAGGTTGTGGGGTGGCAGCATGGTCTTTGCCTGATGGGGTTAACCAGGGGGCACTTCTTAGACATGAGTTTTGATATAAGTAGGCAGTGCAGGGAATGTGGGCCTGCCTTACCATGGAATCAAACCCTTCTATCTGTGTTATGCCTAGGTCAGCATTGGATGCCCAGAGAAGATGGAACCAATTACCAAGATCTCACACATCCCTGCAAGCCGGTGGGCCCTGTCCTGTAGTCTGTGTCGGGAGTGTACAGGGACATGTATTCAGGTAGATGCACAGATGAAGGCTTTTCCTGCCTTGGCTGCCTGGAGGGAGAGGGGCAAAATGGTGTGGGAAGGGGATGAGGTTGGGAACAGAGCCTACCTGGCCATCACTGCACTCCTGGGCAACTGACATCAATAAGTCAATCAACAAGCATTTATTAAGTGCCTTCTATGTGTGAGTGGAGACACAAAGACAAAAATGAAACAGTACCTACCCTCCTCAAGTTGCTTATACTTTTGCTCGTTGTCATGGGAAATGGAAGCTTTTGGACAGTTCCACAAGCAACAAGAATAGTAACAAGCATTGATTAAGCAACTACTGTGTGCAGAGCACAGGGGAAGCATTTGGGGAGATGCAAAGTTTAGATAAGAAGCGATTCTTGCTTCTGTGTATTTCATACTCAGGGTCAGAGGATACAGCATATACACAAATCCCTATATTACATATTGCAGATATTATACAATAATATGCAATATTACATGCAGTACATTAAGGATGTACAAAGCACAGGGCTCACTGAGCACCACCTGTGTGCCCATTCTGTGCTTTGCTGCATTGTTGGGAAGACACAAAGAGTCTACCTGGACCCTGCAGTCAGGAACTCCCAGTATGGTTGGGGAGATAGGGCATCCACATGACCAGTATATGATCTGACTCCCTGCATGACCATGAACCAAGTCAGTTTTCTCATTGGTTGGACAAGGTCGTCTCTAAGATTCCTCCTGGTTCTGCCATTCTCTGGTGTGGCTGCACAGCCGTGGTGGTTCAGAGAGAAGGGAGGTGGCCCCAGTGCAGGCTGGGGTGGTCCGGGAAGACTTGTCGAAGAGGTAAGACTGGACCTTGGCTGTGAAGGAGAGACAGAAAATGAAGGACCAGAGGACAGAGGGAAGGAGGGACGGGATATTTCAAGGCTTGTGAAATAATGAGTAAGGAAGAAAGAAGAATAAAATTGGCAGGCTTGCATAATTATTCCAAGCTGGAACTTATTAGGGAAAATTCAGTTCAGTTCAATAGATACGTATTAATCATTCACTGTGTGGGTAGTTTTGTGCTTGGTGTTAGAGGAGATAGAGAGTTGAGATAAGACATAAGAAGGCCCCTGCCTTCTTAGAGCTCAGAGTTTGATTATGGAATAAGACACACAAATGTCATACATAATGTATGAAAGGAAAATTAGTGAAATATAAGCAAAGTAATTATTTCCAAGGAGGTCATTATTTCTAGGGGAATCAAGGAAGACTTCCTGGAAGGGGTGACATTCAAGTTGGATTTTAAAGGAGAAAATCTCAGTAGGCAAATATGGATAGAGAGGGCATTCCAGACATAGCAGTGTGGGTGGGACCATAGAAAAAGCAGGAGAACGGAGAAAATAGTACTTTGAACTGGAGCGTAGAGTTGGTGGAACAAAATAATATGAGTGAGAAAAGCCTGGAAAGGTCAGGTGGCACAGATTATAGAGAACCTTGAATACCAGGGAGAGGGGTTTGGTTTTTTACTCAGTGAGCAGTAGGGAGCCCCTGAAGATGTCTGAGCGAAGGAATGGCATGACCATATCTATACTAAAGGAAGATTAATCTTGCAGTGATCTGTAAGGATGCATCCAAGGCAGGAAGGCCTGTTGGGGCCTGGAGGTGGGTAATAAGAGCCTTGCACGAGGGTAGTGGCAGTGGAAATAATCAGGGATGTGGACATGCAAGAAGAACCCATAACTGGTTTCATATGAGAGGTGAGCACAGCGTCAAATAATCATGATTGTTATTAATGTGTTATGATTAATGTTGTTATTGTTAGCAACAAGAAGTTTGCTGATCATAGAGGAAAGAACAACTCCCAAAACATCTGCTGAAGATAGTCCTTGGCCAAGTTCAAATGCAGGGCCAAAAGCAGAATAATTAATGAATTCACATTTACACAATGCTTTAAGTTTCTTAAAGCACTTCGTATCTCATTTGATCCTCACAACAACCCTGTGAGGTTATCACTTATTATAGCAATACTACTTCTTGTTTTTTGTTTTGTAGGCAGTTTAGGGTTAAGTGACTTGCCCCGGGTCACACAGCTAGTAAGTGACAAGAGTCTGAGGCCAGATTTGAGCTCAGGTCCTCCTGAGTGTAGGGCTGGTACTCTATTCACTGCACCACCTAGCTGCCCGCCAATAATATTACAATATTAATCTTAATTTATAATATTACAATATTATCCCATTTTACAGGTGAGGAGACAAGTTTAGAGGCTAAGTATCTTTTCCAAGGCCACATTAACAGGGGCAGCTAGGTGGTACAATGGATAAAGCATCCCCAGATAACAAGAACTCCCCCCAGCTGACCTGAGCCAGCTACCCTTTCCAGAAGAGAGCTGTCACTCAGCAAGTGCTTGCTGAGCACGTCCTTGTACAGAGCCCAGTGCTAAGCCTATTGGAGAAGACAAAGGTTAATAAGACATGGACCCTGCTTTCAGGAGTTCTTTCCACTGTACATCACTGCCTCCCACAGAACACAGGATAGATACCCTGCCATGGACTCTGGGAGATCCCATGGATTGGGACAGGAAAGGGAGGAGGGGAACAAATAGAATAGGTTCTTTTACCCCTCTGAGCCTTGTGCTTTTCCACCTTTAAAATGAAAGGGTTCTGATCCACACAGTCCATTCATTCATCCATTCATTCATTCCACAAACATCTATGAAATGACTGTAATGTCCCAGACATGATACTGGGTGCTGGTATCAAGACAACACTAAACAGTTTCTGCTCTCAGAGGAGTTTACATTGTATTGGAGTCAAAACAATGTAGGAACAGATAAGTAAATAGAAAATATATGCAAAGTAATTCTGGAGTGGAAGAAGGTAGAAATATATGGGGGGGGGGGAGCGGTATTAAGAGGCCTTGAGTAAGAGGGAGTACCTGAGCTGAGCTTGAAGCCAGCTTCCTGTTCTAAGAGGAAGAGATGGGAAGGGAGATTGGTCCAGCTTTGACTGTCTACGGTGGTCATGCCCACTGAGTAGAACAGACAGTAATTAGGCTTGAACCGAACAGGCAGAGTCCTGGTGGTGAGGCAGTAGGTAGGGTATGGTCATGCCCACACCGGACTTTTCCAGAAGCTCCTGCTAACTGGCTGATGCCTTATTAGTTGAACTTGCTTTTGGCTTTTTTAATTTGCCTTTTGAGTAAAAAACTAACAACTGTGCCCCTTGCCATCTGGCAAAAAAAAGGGACTTAGCCTGAGTGGCATTCCCTTTGGGGTCTCCCCAAGGTAACATGGTAACATTTTACCTCAGGAGCCTGCTTCCCTTAGATTGGGAGGCCAGTCTAAGGGCCTCAAGGCTGGAGGGTCATTGGGCGTGGTCGAGTAAAGAATTTTAGTTTTCATTCAACTCCCTGGGGAGATTTCCTCCCTGAGGAAACTTCAGTTGTCATCTCAGGCTTAACATCAGCTGTGGAGGCATCATGATGCCTTGGAAAAGAGCAGGTTTAAACCCTACTTCCCTTAATTTCTTCAAGCCAGATCATTTCTGAGGTCCCTTACTTAAATTCTGTGGTGGTTTCACTTGTGCAGAAAGAGGCTAGGAAGATTTGTTAATTAAAGAAATAGAAGTCCCTTCTCTGTAACTTTGCTTTCATTTTGATTATAGGGGCATCCACAACTGCGGATGACTCAAACCTCTCTGCATCCCTCAGAACCTTTGCATATAGGCAGTATTTATGGTGAAGAAGGAAGGAGGATGGAACCTTCAGAGAAAAAAGAGATTTTAATACTGTGTTGATGCAAGAAAGGAAAAATTGTGGCTGTATGCTTTTTGTGAGCCAAGCTTGTCTGGTTAGCTTCAATCTGTCTGTTCTTAGGGTCCAGTTTTGTTGTGTCGCATAGAGGCAGTTTAGCTTATCACCACACCATGAAACTTTGCAGTGGTTTAGTTTTAAGCATCCCCAGATGTTCCTCCAGTAGAGACACATTGTCATTCACTGGTTAGCTTGCACAATGAAATTACCGTTTTGGCTACCAAACAAGAAAACTCAATCAGGGAAGCCTATGGCTTGCAAAACCACCCAAAAGAATGGTTCTCTCTGCAAAAATGACTCCTTAAAAGCAGCATTGTGGAAGTCCCATGCTTTTTCTTCCTTGGTGATTTACATATCAAATTGGCTTCATTGATGAGCCTCACACCTTTTTCCCCAAGTCTTCCAGATGCTCAAGCTCCGGATTTAAAGTCTGGTCACTGCTATCATCCCTGTCGTCAGGGTTCATTGATAGGGAGTTTACCCTGGCAAGTGGCTGGGATAAACCACATCCCCAGAATGGAAAAGGGGAAGGTGCATCAGGGAGGAAATTTGGGGAAAGCACTAAAGCTGGCTTTTTCCACCAGTCAATAAAAACAGCCGAAGTTAGCATTTTCTTTAGTGCTTTGAAAGGTTCACAAAGCACCTTCCTCAACCCCTCTGGAAAGTAGAGAGCTTACCTACCCCCATTTTATAAATGAGGAAACTGAGACTCAGATAGGAAAAGTGATTAACCCAAAGCTCACACAGCTTCTAGCCATTAATTACACTGGCTCTAAGTGAACTCTTTGAAAGTGCTAGGCACCCAGAGGTACATAAGAAATCAGCTAGCTAGAGAGTCAAGATACACTTTAAACAATTAGACAACAATGCTGTATGTGACAAGTACAATGGGAGTTCAGAGCCAGACACAATCCTGTGTGCAGAGGTAATCATGGAAGTCTTCTTGGAGAAGGTGGGCTCAGAGCGGGGCCTTGAAGGATGGGACAGAGATAGTGATGGAGAAGGCACACCAGATAGGAGAACGTCCAAAGCAAAGGCTCAAAGAATTAGAGAAGATCATGGTGTCGTTTAGTGAGAATGGAGTTGAGTGAAGCACGTCCTTGCTCTCCACGGACTTCTTTGGTGCTATGCAGGGAGATCACTTCTCAAGAAGATCCTAAGTGTGGTTTTGCCCAAGATCTCTAATGAAGGGCACAAAGCTAGGATGACTGGGACCTGCTGGGA